GTAAGAAATCTTTACTATTTTCGTGCTTTCACATATGCTGCCAATACCTTGCTCGCTGGATATATTCATCATTGTTATAATCCCTTGAGGACATTTCTTCAAAAGGAAAGAGCAATGTTGTAAGAATCCTTGAGCCCATCAAGGAGGATTGGAAGGAGAAGTGAGTTACTTTTATTTGTGATGGTTGGACAGTGCATATATGAGACATCTGATTAATTTCATTACATTTATAAAATCTGGGCCTATGATCATAAAGGTATTAATTGTGAAGGACTTGTGAAGATAAATTTTGTATTGTAGATCAAATTAAAGAAGTGATCATATTGCTGGGCTTAGAGAAAGTAGTACAAGTTATCAATAACAATGCACCAGTTTACAAAGCTTCAATAGTTCTGATTGAAACTAAATACTCTTTCATTTTTTAAACTCTTTGTATTGTTCTTACATTGAAAAATATATATGCTCTAAAGAATGTATGAGGTAATGTGATCACCTATGCATAATCCAATTGGATCATATAAATAGCAGGTGATGCAAGCTTCATAAAGACATTAATCATGAATTGTTGAAAGGCATTGCCACTATTTAATGAATATGTGAAATTCAAAATGTTAGCCATAACGGAGACCCATTTTGCTACAACATTTGTTATGCTTAGACGATTCAAAATAATTTAGCAAGAATTGCATATCATTATGTTTTGTGACAAGTGTAGCGTTTATAGTAAAGATGTAGACAAGGACAAATTTGTGGAGAAAGTATTAGATGATCTGTGTTGGGTAGAAATGGACTATATTATTATTTTTATCTAGGCAATATATGACATGCTATCAAACATTCTAAGTTTATTGAAAGATCATTAATAAACATTTATGTTGCTTTTCATCATGCCCATTTTCTTAAAATTATATGACTTTGTTACCTTCAGTTGTGCTATGGCTATACCCAGAGGAATGTGTTAACTAGAGAAGGCGCATGATATGATCAAGCCGGACTAGCAACATTATTAGACCAAACCCATAAATAGAAAAGTGGTATGGTGATAACCAACGGACATGTGGGCCTCTAGCTTGGCACATTGTCTTTCTTGTGTCAATGAGCTTACTTGGGTGCTATTTAATATGTGGAAGCGTCAATGAAAATCTAGTTGGCTATGTATAGCCAAGTGTCTCTTTTGTAACTATTCTAGTTAAAAGCGGACTAATAGATAAATGGGTAATTGGTTGTTAGAGTATACCAGATATTGTCTTTTGGATGGTTCAGTTCAATTACATTGCAGGATCCTAACAATTTGGAACTCATGTTGCCCTCCCGCCAACCTAAACTTCGCAATCTTGGCCAATTCATGGTTGATAATACTTGCTCAATTATCAGGATGATCGATCGCCTAAATGCAGTCAATTAGCAACTAACTGCATTTAGTGATCTTTGTGAAATCAGCATGAAATTGTTGTTAGTTGAAGCTAAAATAGATTACCAGCAAAATAGGAATAAGATAACAACGTTATGCAACCCCCTCCATTCAACACCAATGATACATTTTATGAGTGGAATCTCATTCTTAGCTATTCGACATGCCTACCTTGTTACACTAATGGTAATCCAGACACTTTGTTACACAAGATTTTAGCAATTTTATAGCCTCTACTAGCTCTTTGACGTTGACAAATTGACCATCGTATCCTTCCATAAGCTTGGATCTATGAAAAATGGCTTCATTAAATGTCAAAAACTAAATGATTGAACTCCTTATTAGGGTTTCACGCAACATTGCAGATCTTTGACTTATCCAAGTATCGTAACTCAAGCGGAGAATTGGATAAACTTTTCTAAACTCTATTGTTTCTTATTACCAACTTCAATTTAAATAACTTTCAAATTAGATTTTTCGGCATTTGACGATTCCTTTGTAAAAGGTTGTCTTTAATATGGCCTTAAACTACATATCCACAAGTAGGCATGGTTATGGCAATCAAAAACATTAGATCAAGCTATTTAGTTGGCCAAGTTCATCAAGAAGAAGCTCTACTATTCTAAGAAATCTTTTCTGATCCTACAAACTCTAATTGCCACATAAACAAAACCACAAAATAATGTATCTCTGCATAGGGAATATATTAGCTCTCATGCTTATCAATGGTGGTGAACCCCAACAAAGATAGTGGACAACGGGTCAACGACACCACTACGCATACAATTGATCCTGATCCCCCAATACCAACCCACCTACAATCAACATCCATTCCTTAGAAGGTCGCTAGTCACCAATTACATTACATTGGATTAGTGAATTGCATAAAACAAAAATTCAAATTCTCATTGATGTAGGTTCGACACAATTTCGTCTAACAGCGCTCGGTGGATTTCGGTCATCCCACCGACACCAACCTTCCACATCTTTGTTGGAAATGGTTAAACTTTGGTATGTTCTGCTAAATTCTTTGCTCATCCATAAATCTCCCAAGGCACTACATTCCTGATAGATGTCTCTGTGTTGCCAATCTAAGGTGCTCAATTGATTTTGGATGTCCTATGTCTCCAGCTCGTGTGATATTACTACAAACTATTCCTCTTTATTCTTGCAGTTTTTTCGGGCACAAAAAAACATATCAAACTCCGTGATTTCCTTACTACTTAACAACTGTAGGAAATTTCTCATGCTTATTTGACCACAAAAAAAGCCGAAGTAAAACTATTGTCAGGCATTAAAGTATTAAACTAATCCTTTAATAGTTCCGCTATGTTTTTGAACCACCAAGCTGTCTATCGCCAACTACATTGAAGACCATTGCAAACTGCTCACCCCCTGCACTTAGTTTATCAATGTTCGAAAATGGGTACCTTTTTTTAGAAAGAAGCCATTGAAATGATGGTCTCGGACATGCTCAGATTAATCATTATAAAAACCACCTCAAGTCCTTTCTCTTGTTCAATCCCCTTCAAAAAAATCTCAAACAAATTTCCATTCTTGACCATGGACAAACTCTTCATCGAGGTATATGGTGCAATCAGTTTCAAAGCTTGCTAACATCAAGTTTAGATGGCTAATGATGACATTCACAAGAGAACATTCGCCTCATTAAAGCCACTACAAATTCTGGTTAATATTGAGCGAACTATTTAAATTCTCGATCTACTTTTCTGAATATTATAAATACTGTTCTACAACCATTTCTATGAAAATTTGTTATAGTATTCTTCAATGATATATTAGTGTATGGCAAATCCATAATTTATTCGAAGTCATCTAACCATAATTTATTCTGCATGCTGGACAATATTTTGCCCCTCAAACTCTCTGAATGCTGCTTTGATGCGCCAACGCCTGAGTATTTGGGCCACAGCGTCTGCCAGTGGCATAGAACCAAACCCAAAGAAGCTCAACTGGGAGAGCCACCTAAAATCAATAAATCAATTATGGAGTTTTTTTTTTTGGAAAGATGCAAATAGCAATAACATTAAAAGAGAGAATGCCTAATACAATTATTGAGTTTTTTGGGGCCTTACTAGATATTAGCGCAAGTTCATCCACAATTTCATGATGATTGCTGTCCTCCCACCTCACAGTTGCAGAAAAAATGTTTCATTTGGACCACCGATGCATCAGTTTCTTTCGCCAAATTACAAGTAACTATAACAAACCCACCTCTTAGCTTTGCTAGATTTCATCAAATCATTTTTAATGGATACCTACGCATCTGAAAGTGGCATTGAAGTTGTGTTATGTTAAGAAGGTTGGCCCATTGCCTACTAAAGCAAGAAAGTTAACCCTTACATGCAGCATGCCTCTGTCTATGTTTGCAAGCTCTTCGTTATCACGAAGTCAGTCATGAAATCAGGCCAATAATTGGTGTACGGTTCACCAACCAAACTGATTAAAAAGTGTACTAGCGAAATACTTGACCAAGTCATACAAACTCTGGAGCAATAATGTTTTCTAGTAAAATATTTGTAGTTTGATCTTCGTAGTGTTTACAACCCCAGGAATAAAAATTAGTTTGTAGATGACTTGCCCCAAATTCATGTTGTAAAGAACAACAGATGACGACTTGTGTCCATGGGGGACTTGTGATTATTTGCCGGACCTCAAAATTTAATAAAATGGTTTAATGGTATTTTAGTTATTTCCCCACCCATAGCTCTATTTTCCCCAACAAAGGGAAAAAATGCCACAAAACGACAGAAATTTTTCGGCCTGCAGCCGCAAATGTTCACAAGCTCCTGCTAGTCGTGTCCATCTCCAACGCTTGAAATATTTTTGAGTTTGAACGATTAGAGCCGCAGCTACAAACCTTATTCGGACGTTCCCTAGCGCATGCAATTCGTGCCTAGTCCAAGCCTCCAATCGCTTGCAATCTGAGTTCTGATCCTGAGAAAGCTAATAAAACTGAGGTTTTGTATTTGGCAACCCCATTTTCCTATTTAATATACTATCTTAGCTTGTAATAATTTTCAATTTATCTATCATAATAAAATATAAAATTTTACTTAGAATTATGCCCTCATTTTATTTTCTTAAATATTAGTCCATTTATTTGAAAATTTTGCCCACCCTAAAATGAAGGCTGGTTCCACCCTTTCTTGTGTCTGACCCTTCACGATAACTTCCTTCCTTGGAAAAGGCATATAATGGTCTCGACAAATTCCTACCTCCGGCACGCCATCTTTTAAGAGTATTACTTCAGCATAGTTAGTCCCCGCAAACCCAGCATCAGCTAACAAAGTGACAAAATATTTACAATTGGTATCCATCAGCTTGCTACAACCTTTATCAATTCTCGCTGCGGCTTGGGAAGTTTTATTGAGGATGATTAGGATATGGCTAATGATAATGAATGTGACTTAAATTCAAGATATTTATTAAACTTCTTATTAGAGAAGTTGCACTGTAACAAACCAGTGATCAATTTGTGGGGCTAATAAGGGCCGCTGTTCTTGATATGATTGCTGAACTTGCTATTGTGATTAGCAAACATCATGATGTTTTTGGTTGTTTGCAGAGCAGAACAAGAAGGGACAAATTTCAAGTCTGTCGAGCTACGATCATTCCTAAAATTTATCAAACAGAACAATCTCCAAAATGAGTTCTTCTTTATTGGATCAAGCCAATGTGAGTTACGTAATCGATTGCAGTTTTTCCCTTCTTTACTAGCTTTGCACATAACTGTCTTGAAGTTTGCTTATTTCAGTATTATGATATTTGCTTTTATTTTTGTTTTGATGACACAGATTTAGTCACATCAATACATGAGCACTGGTTCTGTGCTAGGTGTATAAATACATCTAGACCTGCAGGTGAAGGTGTTATTGTTATGCAGATTGCAGCTTATCTTTTAGTTGCAATGTAAGGACATAATGTACTAGATTAAAACGTTTTTTGTTGCAAGCTTGGCGCCTCACTTCGCATGTTACTAATGATTAATCCAGGTACGAGGGTTCTATAGGTTCAGCAACTCGAGCAATGGTTGCTGTAGAACAATTTGTGTGGCAGTTGAGCCGTAGAATTCACTGAAAGATTCAAATTTCTTTTGTCTTGTCCTTAATTATGTGAGTTCATTAGTAATTTGTATTGAATTTGAATTTTCTAATTTTCTCTTACTAATTTCATACATTTTTTACTTCAGAGTCAACATTTGGGTTGTCTTCACATCTTCAAATTTTATCAGCCTACGGAATGAGGGAGAAAGGTCGAGTCTGATCTATGGCTACTGCACTACAAAAAATGTTTGTGAAGAAATCTCTCCTTTTAAAATTGGGTCAGTTAGATCATAATTGGATTCTTATTTGCTTTTGTTTTCTGTTTTAAAAACAGATGCTCAAGTCTTTTAGTTAAAAAAAAATGTTTGATAATCATTTTTTTACCTATTAAACATGCTTGAGTCTTGAGTTAAAAGATAGATGTTTGATATTTATTAAATTATAATAATTGAAACTAAGGTTATAAAAAATAATTAATTAATCAATTAATTGGCAAAATAGTTAGTAATTATTGAGTTATTTATGATAATAAGGAATTTAATGAATTATTTGATGCAAATTGGGAGTGTGACTTACCAGTAGAGTAAGGACCAGTGGTTACCAACAGAGAAAGAGAGACTATCCTATAACTCGTATTCAAATTTCGTTGTAAGATTAAGGAGAGAGCTTTATTTGACCTTACTATTTGGCTTTGTATTTCTTATGCTAGGAGATTGATCAACATTCAATGAAGAAGAAGATAGAGATGTCTCAACATGTGATATGGTATCTGTTTAAGTTGGGGAAATTATTGGGTTCGGACACCGGACGATGTCCGAAGCCCAATGAAAATGCGCCACATCACCCCCTACTCGGTACTGCTCCGTACCAAGCTCAATATTGCTCGGTACTGTGAAATACAGAACATAAGATGTGTTTGGTGTTCGAACCCAATAATCTCTCGTTAAGTTGAGGGAGATTCTTCAGGATTATTGGTAATTGGTTCTAGATGTCAATGTTTCGTTGGCTAATTTCCTACAAATAAGGTTGTCTTGCGTAAGCGTGAGACAATAGAAGCATAAGCTACATTTTTTTTAATCACATATCACATTATGCCAATAAATTCAACTTTAGAGCTAATCCGAATGATGTGTAGCAGAGCATGCATATATGGCACCTGTATGCATGTTGCCATGCGATATACATACACAAGTGCATATATGCGCGCATGTGTGGTTGTGCATGCAGCTGCATGAGCCTTTACATGTGCCAGCGCCTCTACTTACACGAGTGCATGCACGTCAGTAGTAGCTGCAATTATAGGCGATCGATTGGTTGACATGACACATTTTGGGTTGCCAATTTTATCATTTTTTAATATTATAAATTCAGTTTTGCCATTTTAAAAGCCCAACAAAACACATACGATTGAGATCGAGCAAATTTAGAGAATTTGGAGTAAAATATTTTTATAATTTATGAACTGAGAAATGCTCCACAGATTTGTTTTTACATATTCGATAAAATGTTGGCCTGGAAAATAGAAGATATATCTTTAGAATATTGCATAAATGCATGATTACCTGTGAAAATATTATGAAATATATTATATTGCTTAAATGGCTTGGTTCATTGATATATGCAGTCATCAAATCCATCATAAATTAAGATAATCAGTAATAGGTGTTCTAATCTTAATATTGTTAAGATGGAAATGTTATAAAATAATAAAAAAATATTATGGGATTGGTTTAATATTATTGTACCCAAAGATATATATAAATATTTTTAAGATTGTAATTAATTATACAAAAAAAATTATTTTCTCTGTAGAAAGCTAATAAAATAATTGTATAAATGAAACATTGTAAATGTTCAGTATCCGAAGGAGAGATATGTGTGCTTACATGGGTGATAGGAAAAGGACAAGAGAGATGGCATTGCCAATGATCCCAACGGCGGTGCGTATCTGGTCAGACGAAACCATTGTAGCAGGAGGATATGAGAGCGTGATTTCTATTTGGCTAGGAAAGAGATTTAGTTGTATTGTATGGAGAGGATAAAGAAATATAATTACCTGAGGATGGAAAAGAGTAAGGAGGGTACGTGGATTTTTATAACTAATATGGTTGAGCTTTTCCTTGGCTATCATACCTCTCTCTATTTGTCCCCTCAATTTGTGGATTTAAAAGGCGTTGGTCAGAGAGATTAAGTGTTCGGTAGGGAGAAATGTGAGGGATGGGATAATTAATTACCAACCATGTAAGTTTCTTTGGATGTTCTTTGGAATGAATTGTTACATGTATTTGTATGTTCTTTAGATTGTTAGCATATTGGAATTTTATTAAACGATAATGTTTTTAACGATTAACGGTCGATAGGGTGAGCATCCCTTGACCGTTCTTTACACCAACGGCTTTTTTGTTGATTTATAGTAAATTGCATGCATGAGTGCTAGCAAATAATAGGCCAACTCCTTGTAAATGAGAAGCATAATTTTAAGAATCTGATGGGTTAAGGTTTTTTGAATTTTGATAATTTGATTTAAGGATTAGCTAAATGAATTGATTTTAATTATAAATTTTAAAATTTTGATGTGATTAAATTATTTTTTAAATTAAATAATTCAGGCAAAACTTTAATTTGATTAGTTCGGCTCAATTTTGAATGAATCAAACTTATGCAATCCAGAGATCATAATAATTTTCTTTTTGAAAATGGAAGTTTGCCCATGCAATTACTATGATGTTCACGCTGTATGAGTATTAAGTAGTGAGATAGACCCAAAAAATCCAAAATGTCCTCATGAAAAGTTTCAATTGCCCAACTTCTATCCAAAGAAACTATAAAGCTAACAGCATGACCAATTTCAATCCGCCAAATATATTTTTCTAATATAATTAAAGAAAAAAAACATGGTTTTCAACATCTTATCTTAAGCTTATTTTTTTGATGGATTCACGTCATGAAAAATTTAAATGTCGATATATATATATATTCAGATAAGCTTCCAAAATTATACAATGACAAATTTTGATCCAAAATTATATATATATGTTCAGATAAACTTCCAAAATTATACAATGACAAATTTTGATCCAAAATTAATTAATTCATGTAATCATTTTACTTTCTTTTTATAACTCAATAATTTTGTAACCTTAATGTTTTTCTGTTTAATGAGAAGGAATTTCATCAACTTGCCAGTCAAAAAAAAAAAAAGTTTTGATTTCCAATAGTCTTTTAATTTTGGATGAAAAAGCAAATTTTTTTTGTTTCAAATGCATCATTGATCCCAAAAATGATGCGCTCCTAACAAAATCAAAGCACCATTGTCTCCATCATCCCTTCACCCCCTATCCCAATTGGAAATATAAATAAATAAATTGCGACACATAAAGATGAATGCAAGCCAAAATCATGCATTTATTTTGTACATAGTGTAATATAAAAATAAAAAATAAAAAGGCAACGAGCTGCAAAAATATTCTGCTGCGGTTCTATGACCGTTGGGGTAGACATAACTTATAACAGCGGTTTAAACCACTACAAATTTACAAAATCATAGCGGACATAACCACAACAACTAGCTCATAAAAAATAAATTCGTAGAATTGTAGCGGATTAAACCGATACAAATCTGGATAGTTGTGGTGGTTAAAACCGGCATAATCTTCTAGATTTTTTTTTTTAAATATAAGTTGTGAAGACAAATGTATAGTATTGCAAATGTCGAAGACATAAAAATGAGAATATGTTATATTGTTTTAGTTGGGATGAGATATACAACCCATCACTAGCCAGCGACAACTCAAGAGTTGTTGAGCATTAACCAATGACTAACTAGCAACAATTTATGAATTGCCATAAAAAACTCATGACTAGCTAGCAATTTACATGTAATGACTAGCTCATAATTTATAAAATAGGAAATAATACAAGTGTTAAATTTTCTTATAATCTCTATTAGCAACAAAGCACAAGTTAATTCTAGAGAAGAGTTGGACAATATTTTAAAAAAGATTCATGCTAAAATAGTTCAATGATCTTGTCATAGGCTAGAAAATTGGCTACTAGTCAAATATCTAGTACCCCCAACATCTGCCATCCTCATGTACAATAAGATTGAAAGGACAATAAAAGAAATTTACAAAGGCAGAACAAATTAGTACAATATCAAAACTTGTGGGCTAGATAGGAATAGATATTTGTGAAGTTAATGGAAAGAGAAGGCAACAGTGGGCTTCTATATATATAGTCTTGACTCAATGAAAGTTCAAAATTTGGAAGAACCAACCAAGTAGTGATCACGAGACCCGCTCATTAAAGAAGGCAAGTGGGGAGCAAAATATGGCAGGCACAATTATTGGAAAGATGTTGTCTTTATTGGTGGTTAAAAGAGGCACTAATTGCATCGGTTAAAACCGGTGCTAATTGCACCGGTTAAAATCAGTGTAATTAGCAGCGGTTAAAATTGATGCTAAAAGATTATTTTGGTAGCGGTTCTAAAACTGCTCCTAATATCTGCTGTGAAAAATCTAGTTTTTTTGTAGTGTATGTCCTTTCATCGCTTCAGTTACGAATTCCTCAGCACATGAGCATAACAAATTCAAAACAAACCCCCCCCCCCTTCGAGTTTGTTTTCTCTGCTCCCGCCGGTGGTTCCGGCATGGTCTCGTCTAAGCTTAAAGACCCCGGTTTTTTAGGGGGGTTTTCTCATTCGCGGTCTTTCCTTCAAGCTTTGGCTGGTCAGAAATCATCTTTTCCGGACCTGCATGTCTCTACCTTCCGTGGTCTCCCGTCTCTTTGGGTTTCTGATTTGGAAATTAATGACCTAGCAGCCCCTTTTCAATTCTCCCTTGTTGGTTTTTTTCCCTATAAAAGACCTTCGTTGGAAGCTATTCGTAATTTTTTTTTTAATTTGAAGTTAAAGAATGAGGTTTCTATCACAATTTTAGATCAGTCGCATATATTGATCAAGTTAGCTGATGATCTTGATTACTGTAGAGTTTTCTGTCACCGTTCCTACCTAGTCTTTAACTGTTTTATGAAATTGACGAAGTGGTCGCCGACTTTGGACATTGGTGTTGAGTCACCGGTGATACCGATATGGATCTCCTTTCCTCTTCTTCGTCCCCATTTTTTTTCCCCTCGGATTTTAACTGGCCTTGGCAGTTTGTTTGGGAAACCTCTTAAAATTGATGAAGCGACGGCTATAGGTTCCCGTCCGTCGATTGCTCGTGTGCTTGTTGAGTTAGATATTACGAAATCCTATCCTAAGCAAGTTTGGTTAGGGTCGGAAAATAAGGGTTATACGCGGGAAGTTGTTTTTGAGGAATTTCCCAATTTTTGTGCTGGTTGTAAATCTTTAGGTCACTCGTATGGAAACTGTCGACCTTCTGCTCCTATCTCTCAGATCTCTATCCCTCCCCCTAATTCTGAGAAGCCCGGGGAGGGTGATATTTTGAAATGTCATGTTAATTGCAATGATGTTCAAATTTCGGTTGTTGAGGGGAGCCCTGTTTTGCTGAAAGAAGTGAATGATGTGGTTTCGGCTCCTGTTGCGCAGGAAGTTATAAATGATTGTTCGGTTGCTTTATCTCCGAATGCTAGACCTTTTCTTCCGAATGCTGTTGGTTCTGATAACAATGTTATTTTGGCTTCGATCTATGCGGGAAATTTACTTAATTATGTAGGTGGTGATTTAATGACGGAAACTGGTGTTGTGGGTTCTGTCTTGGATGAGGCTCCGTCTCTTCAGATTGTGTCTTCTGGTGCGCATGCGATTGCTCTGGGGACGGAGGTGATTTCTGATACGGGGAATGATGGTTCGCCTGTACTGGGTATTGTGAAATCTAATGGAGATGTTCATGCTTTAGAAAATGAGGAAGGTGGAACTGATGTTATTGTGTCTGTTGCTGTGGAAATGGCTAGAGGGGAAGGTATTCCTATCATTAACAATCTAGTTGAGGTTCCTGTGACTGTGGTTGATACTCATAAGATGGCAAACTGTGTGGGTAATCTTGCGGGTATGGAGATTAGGAATCAGAAAAATTGGTTGATTGATTCGTCGGATGATGAATCGTATTCTGAGTTTTATGAGTCGGAGAATGATCTTTCCCTTGTTCGTTCTTCCAATG